CCTTCCTGTCTCTCTAAAAATCAATACAAATATTTTTTTAAAAAGAAAGAAAAGGAGGAAGACTATTGACAAAGAACCAGGTGGCAATGCACAGACAATAAACAAGGGTCATTAGGGAAGAAGGAAAATTGCCTCAGAAAGAACCATCCAGCCCAGTAAAAACCTCTTGATCTTCACCAATGCTCAATGTCTAAGACCTCCTTTGCTTTGAGTCCTGGTTTACAGCGGCCCTGCAAAGGCCAATGGTGATGTTTCCCTGTGTGTCTGGTGTGGAAATTTTATCATGAAATTCAGAAACAATCAGCCCACTCACCTTTCATCTTCCCAGAGCTACCTCACCCCTCTTCCCCATGGGGGCCTCCTCAGAAGAGAGAGGGAGCAGGGTAGTCTATGACCTGCGTCCCTGGGATCCAGACTTTCATGTCTGAAATCTCCCTGGACTAAATCCAGAAGATAAGTCTGTCATTTCAACCTGATGACTGTCTGGTGACAAGGTGAGGTACATTAACGGTAGCAACAGTTGATAACCCCTGCAAATGTTTATTGACTACCCACTGAGAGGTGGCCCGGTGAACAGTGAATTCCTGGCAGTGTTGCCCAAAACAGCAAGGCTGACTTGACCAATGCCCTCCTCACTTTGAAATTTCATGTTAGAACTGGCAGGTTTGTAGAGACCATCAAGTCTACTCCATTCCATCGCAGCAGATGAGAACATTGAGACCCAGAGAGGGCTCATACTCACACAAGATTACACAACTGTCTCTATCCCTGCCTCAAACTCAAAGCCTCAGGTGCTTTCCCCTGCGGTCATGCTGACATCTCACTGCCTGAAACCTGGGAAACCTGGTAGAGCGACTTTTTAAAAAATGTCTATTTCCCTCTGTTACAAATATAACCACCAACATTTTCTGGCTCTTCCTCTCTGCCAAGTACTAGTAGAAGAGCTCTCTATAAATTTACTCACTGTATTCTCACAACCACCCAAGGGGACAGGTTACAATGATTATCCCCATTTCACAAATGGAACCCTGAAGTAGAGAGAGGTCACACAGCCGGGCAGAGGCGGGCTGTCGAACGAGACAGTCTGGCTCCAGAGTCCCCACTCTTAACCACTTTGTTATGGTTCATGAAGGATAATTTCTTTAAATCATAAAATGATGGAAGAAAAGGAGCAAGCCGTAAGCACAAAGGGCATGATCACTCGTGTTTGAAAATGAATTTCCGAGCTAAACCATAAGTTCCATTAATATATGTAATAGATCTCTTGATCACCTATTTATTAAGTTGAGGGAAAGTCTATGCATACCAAAAGAAAATATACAAAGCATATTAACATTTTAAGCATTTTTTTTAAAGGCGGAATGATCTACCTGAGATAGGCAGAACATATTTGAGCGCTGGTTTTAGAAGGGTCTCTTCTGTACATGCCCTGGAAAGTGAAGGTGTCGCCGACCTCACCTGTGCTGGCCTTCACTCTCGGACACAAGATGTCCCCTCTGCTGTTAAAAGAATATTACCTTTTCATTAACTTTCTACAGTCATCCAGCCTCAAATTGACAATTAAGGAAAAGATTAAACTAAAATAAGAGAAGACACCTCTGAAGACAAATAAAAATATATCTGATATAAGTGTTCAAAACCAAGATCACTGAAACAAAAACCCTATATTCACTTATATTACTTTTATACTTGCCCTGATATTTAAAATGATGTCAAATCTCATTATCTTGGTTATCCAGGAGAAGAAATCCAGGAGCCGTAATGGTAGAAATAAACAAATTACAATTGTGCCTAAGATCAAATTTCAAGGGGAAAACTGCAGTCAATTAAGAAGATGTATTATCACATTAAAAAGTTACATGACATTTTACCAGCCAAATTATCTTAGTATCAAGTGTGCAAAAGTCCACTCAAAATGCAACAAATCCCAAAAACTCTGAAACCGAAAAAGTATTGCCTTAAACATGAAATCCACAGTCCAGAGAATTAAAGCAAAGAACAGCATCGGGAGCATAGTGGACCTTCAAGTATTTGTTGAAGGAATATACATCAAGAAAATGGTGACAGAAGAGGAGCATGAAGAAACTGTGAAAATGGCTAAGGCAGCGTGACACTGCTTTGAGCTTTTGAGAACTTTTTAATACCAGGAAAGTAACAGAAGGACTAAGGAATATAGATACTGGACAAAATGACAGACTACTATATCTAATCAGGGCAAAAGGTTGGGTGTATAGGACTTGACCTGCACTTCTTAAGAAAAATATCACCAAGCCTAGCTTTGCCTAAGTAAGGGATCTGGACTGCAGCCCTACAGAGTGGAACCATATTTACAGTACAGCTCTAACATGGCAAAATTCCCTGGATTTGATGCATTTCAAATACAACACTGGTGTGTTTTTTTTAATTAGAACTCTCAATAGTAGTTGCCCAGTTTGACCCATCTCTTTATAACAAATCTTATTTAAGGTTACGGGGGAGGAGGAAAGGGGGAGAGATCCTATAGCTTCTCAGCTCCACTAAGTACAAATGCAATTTGACAAAACCTACATAAGCCAGATCTGTCATATCTAATCAGTAAATTAAAGCATGATAAAATTACAGTCAGGCGGGGAGTTCAAGGATAATTTGGAATCTGTGCAGTACCATCCTAGCCATGCCCCAATCATAAAGTATTTTCCAACATTTATGTAATAAATCTTTTCTGGGGAGTCAGTGTTGGTTAGGATCCTGGCAGGACTTAAGATTGGAGCTTAAGTACCAGTATAGTGGTTACCAGTTTTGTACAGAATGTTTAATGTAAAAGTAATCTTATATTCCACCATTTACTTTAATACCTATTTAGAACACATTTCCTTTTCTCACGTGGCATATACGAAAGGAGGTCATGTATCAGAGCTCACCTGAAATTCCTGCCCAGTTTAAGTCTTAGCCACAGCAGTAGTTTCTTATAAGCACGATGGGAAAATATTCCAAACTCTTCTACAGCGTTCACATAACTTTTAAAAAGGTTTTGTGAAACCCAAGTGAGGCCCCTGATGAAATTTCATAGAGCCTCGGTTACCAACTCCAGGCACAGCTCGTTTTATTATGCTCCACTTTATTGCATCTCACACATGTTGCTTTTTTTTTTTTAACAAATGAAGGCAAGACCTTCCACCGGCAACAACAAAAAAGAGAGAGAGAGATTGCAACTCTCTTAATTGCAATACTCTCCTTATTGTGGAGGTATGGAATCAAACCCAAAATACTGAGGAGCTACGCCGGTACTGTTGTCCTCCTTGTTTCTAAACTGCTTCAAGGACAGGACAGGTGCTTCAAAGGAAAGTCTACTGGCACACCTGTTGCATAACTTGTTCTTGGTTAGCCAGGTTTTGATAAGGAAGAAAATACAGTCAGAAGCAGGACAAACACTGATTCTCTGTTCTCCATTCTCCCATTAGCCAGGACATGCTTCTGGGTCACACACCCAGTAGCCAGCGGTGCCTTGGTTTCCCTAACCACTACACAGGAGGTCTGATGCTACCCGCATTCTTACTTGTCCAAAGTTAGCGAGCACACTCACACAGAAAGTCCACATCAGAACATGACACTGAAATACTGTGTTGTATAAGTTCCAAAGGCTTTTGCAGTATTCATTTCTTTTCCTCCCAAGACTCCAAAGGGGTTAGCTTGACCATTCATCAAGATCGGGCAAACACCAATGTGCTTTAAGAACCTGTACACAAAAACCCAGAACCGGTATATAGAAACCTTCCCGGGTAAAGTTACCACTCTGCTTGGATAATCAAGTGCAAAACAGCAACCCACAGAACGCAACAAGGACAGGTCTTTTATTTTTGCTTTTGTTGTGAAAACAGGATTTTACTTCCCCTGACAGCTTCCGGGCCTAGGAACACTTGAGGACAAAGTTTCAGAAAACCGGAGACCCCGTGGGACCCCAATGATTAGTTCTTTCTGAACGTCGTACTTTTCTGTGTTTCTTACCCAGTTGGCACTGGTCTGGTGGCTCACCTCCATAACTCTGGGTCTGCGGATATTTGTCGAAGCCCAGGCAGGGGTCACGGAGGAAGACGTGCGCAAACACAGATGTTGCTGCCTTTGCCTGACCCACCCAGGTGCAGCCAATGGGGGCAGGCTGTGCGCTCCGAGGGAGCAGATGCCTTCTCTCCTGGAAATCTAATTGGTGTCTGGGAAACCAGAGCTGGGTTTCCAAGGCGGCCTGAGCACCAGCTCCCACGCAGCCCCGGACAGGCCAGGATGCCTCCTCCGCCACGCACAGGCCCATCATTATGACCCCTGCGGAAGCTCCAAGCACGGGAGGGTGAGGGTACCACCACCCACACCCCGGGTGTTCAAGGGACAAACCAATCTATAAAATCAGCATCCAGAAACCCAACAGAATTCTGACCGCCTCTCCTAACTGTAGATACCTTTTAAGACTCAGCAGATGTTACTACACGAAAGAAAGGTTATGGCCTCTGTCCGGGCTTGTGCTTGGTCTGCTTTCTGGGGGACCCGGCCCCGCCGGGTACCCTCCACCCGGAGCCGAGGCACCGATGGGGAGAGGAGACCCCCAGCTTTCGAGCATCTCCCTTGCCCGCCGCAGGAGTGCCATTTCTTTCCCCAGCGTCCGAGGGCACTGGCCGGGCTTCCACCCACCCATCCCGGTCCCCGGAGGCGGGGTCGAGAGGGGCCGCCACCGCCTCCTGGGTGCGCAGCGGCTGTGCCGCCCCGGCGACCTCGCGCTCCGCAGCTGCCGCCGCGCCGCCGGGCAGTGCAGCCCTTTGCACTTGTTGCCGCTCCCGAAGGGCCGGGAGGCGGCGGCCATCCCTCGCGCCGCCGAGTCCGCAGCAACACCCCCTCTCCACCTCGGCTGACCCTCGCCGTCCCCGGGATCCGGGAGAAAGTAGCTCCGCGCCGCGAACTCAGGTGAGGCGGGCGCAAGTTCTGCGCCCAGGGCTGCAGAGAGGCGCCTGGGATGGAGCCCAGAGATCACTTACCTGGAGCGGTGGCCCCGCAGCCTCCGCAGCCGAGCGAGGCGCTGCCCCCGCGCCCTGCCCGCGGGCGCCCGGAGCCGGGAAGGCTCTCCGAAGCTGCCAACGCCCGGCGGCGACCCGGCGGCCAGCGCGGAGGGGCGGAGCCGCGGCCGCGCGCCCAGGCCGGGGTGGCGGCGCCCGCGCTGGTGCCGCCCCCGCTCCCCGCTCTGGCTCCCCGCGCGCCTGCCGGCTGCCACAGGATCCCGGCCTGCCCGCCGCCCGCCCGGCATCACATGGCCCGGCCCGCCCGCCGCCGCGCCCGACACCGGCTCCAGGAGGAAACCTGAAACCCCGCCTGAGCTGCCTCCGCCAGCCCCTCCCGCCGCGGGGCGGTGGCCCGCTGGCCTCGGCTTCCCACCCGGGAACGGAGCGCCCCGGTGGGCGGAGGCTGGCGCGGCCCTGCCCGGCCAGAGGAGGGCGAGGTTGCGCCCTGGTGGCGGCGCCCGCGCGCCCCGGGCTCCCGTGGGCCTCGCCTGCCCGCTCCTGAAAGGACTTGTGCCAGGCCCCAGCTAGGCTTGGGCTGCCCTCTGCCCAAAGCCACCGCACCTGTGACACAGCGTGGCCCAAGTATGACTTTAAAATCTTGAGGCTCATGTTCCTCTGGGCCAGAGCTGGGCAAGCTGAGATTCCTTGGTGCTCGTACACCCAGGCGGCTCCAAGAGAAGTCTTCCTAATGCAAACATTCCCATGAAAACTGCAACCTGCTTTTACAATGTGAGAGGGACTCCCTTCCATCCAGCGCGCTTTTTCAGTTAAAACCATCACAGCCCCAAGCGGAGAACCCTCTCCATCCACCAGGCCTTCATAAAACAGACTTCAGACAATGATAGCAGCATGAAAGGCAAAAATCCCAATTTGACTTTTCTTGTCATTAGCATGAATCTCTGGTTTGTTTTTCCTGCAAAGCCCTGCTGCCCACAGGACCAGGACAGGGGTATGGCCTGAGGAAGACTGGCCACAGAGGCACCAAGCCAGAAGGGAGCACATGCCCCAGTTGTCACCAACACCTCTCCTGGCCACCTCAGTCCCCCTTCACATCCTCACCTTGTCCAGCCCACCTTGAGGACAAGAGTGAGGCAGAAGATAGCAAGGATACACTGCCCTGCGTCCGAAGTCCTTAGCTCTGCTCCAAGGCAAAGGTGGTGCGTTCTGCTTAATAAAGAGAACCCAAATTGGCATTGCGTGCCTGACTTTAAGCTGCAATCCCAGTTGATTCTGTTTCACCAAATCCATGAACCCAAGGCCTGGCCTCATGTACTGCCTTTTAAAGAAAAAAGAACTTCCTTCCCATTGCCAGAACGTCAAGACACTCAAGACAAAAATAAAAACAATATCCTTGTCAAAAATATTTTCCCCCAAGAAATACAATTTTTTTAAAATTTTCCAATCCTAAAACATCTACAGAAGATGAACTGAATCCACACACCAGACAAAAATGGTTTCCAGACTGTGGTAAGCAAAAACATGGATGCGTTAGTGGCCTTTTTACATCACTAGTATGGAATCACTGTGTATTTTCGTTTCTTTCTTCTCCCCACCGCCATTCCCAACCTTCCCGCCCCCCTCACTTCATGAATTGTCAGGTATGTAAATAGAAAAATGTGGGAGGAGGAACATCTATTCTAAGAAGTTGCCCCAAAACTCCATACCCACAAAAAAGAAACAGGCAAAACTAGTCATTGTGAAACCCTCACCAGCTGAAGACATACAATCATGCTATCTGCAGTTTTCTTGCCTTCTCTCAAGCACTGAGCTTGATCAATATTTAAATAAGTACTTGGCTTTCAACTTCTCTAGGTTCAAATATTAAGCAAAGTGTACTCTAGCAACCTTAAAAACGGAGAAAGTATGAGTCAGGAAGCTATCAGTTGTGTAAATAACCCTTTGCATCTGATTGATTTTGCTGCATATAAGTCACTCAGGACACTGTGATAGTGCTACGCTTGGCTGGGACAGTGATTGTTTAATTCAAAGACTCCATATTCTCTCAGTCCCCAGACATAGGGATATTCAGCCAACAAGAACCCAGGTTGCCAATTCAGTTGAGAAGCTAACTTCTTAGGGAGTCTCATGCCAGAGTCCCAGCTGAGCTCTGTCTTATTCAGTCTCCACTCATCCTTCCAGACTTCAGACAGGCCTCCTGCGTAAATCCTTTCTTCGCTGTTCTGGTTCCTGCCAGCCTCTGAACGCTGGCAGAGCTTAATGACCTTATCACACATTTTAGCACCTGATTATATTCACTGTCATATGTTGGACATTACAGGTTCCTATCCTCTCTTCAACTTCTCATTTCAAGGACAAAGACTCTTTCTTATCCCAGTGATCTCCACAGTCCTAACACGGGGCACCTCTGGAGTACTTAATATTTGTATAGAGACCCTAGCTCTGGAGTATTTAACATCTATTTTTGTTTGTTTTTTATTTTGTTTTGCCAGTTACCTATTTATAAAAAGATACTCCCCTGACACATTTGGGGGGGGGATTTTTTTTAAGTGTACATATTTATTCATTTATTTTAAAAACATAGCCAATAAGTACTTACCATAAAAAAGAATCAGAAAATACAAATAAAATTGCCGAAATCGGTTTGGCTCAGTGGATAGAGCGTCGGCCTGCGGACTGAAAGGTCCCGGGTTCGATTCCGGTCAGGGGCATGTACCTGGGTTGCGGGCACATCCCCGGTGGGGGATGTGCAGGAGGCGGCTGATCGATGTTTCTCTCTCATCGATGTTTCTGACTCTCTGTCTCTCTCCTTTCCTCTCTGTAAAAAATCAATAAAATATATATAAAAAAAAAAAAAGAAAATACAAATAAATAAAACAAAATTAAAGGCAGACTCCACCCAGATAGCTTTGCTGAAGTGAAACAGACAGGCACTGTGATTAAACCAGATCTGGTGCACGGTGCTCAAAGTGGACCTACCTTTCGGTCTGATCAAGCGCAGTTGAAGGATTACTTTTTTATGGAATAATAGACGTGGTTTAAAGATTTAAGAAAATAGAGTAAATCACAATGGTATCCCGAGGCAATGAATGTGTAGGACCTATTCACTATTAGAGAAAAAGACAGGCAACACCACTAACCTGGGGCAGCTGCCTGGCAGAGCAAAAAGCCTGTGGGATGCACTTTGGGCTACACTGTCAGACAGCCTGGAGTTAAGTCTACCTACTGTTTGGAAATGGGGTGATATTGGACCAGTTATATGACTTCTCTGAGCCTCAGTTTCCTCACTTTTTTTATTAAATTTATTGGGGTGACATTGGTCAACATGAACATATAGGTTTCTGGTGGGGGTTACCATATTGCACCGTGTGCCCACCACCCAAAGTCAGATCTTCTGTCACCTTTTATTAGGACCCCCTTCCTCCCCACCCCCTTCTGTCTGACAACCACCACACTGCTGTTTGTGTTCACGAGTTTCAGTTTTATATCCCACATATGAGTGAGATCATATGGTTCCTAGCTTTCTCTGACTTAACTTCACTTCCCATAATATTCTCAAGGTCCACCCATGTACATTTGTGTTTTTTTAAGTGAACTATCACATCAGTTATGCAGGAAGGATAATGTATATCACAATTTTTTAACTTTTTTGTAATAGATTATAAGCACTCCAAATTCTATTACCTACTTAATTCTTTCCTGCTCTTCATTCTATTTCCTTTGCCAATAATTCTGTGATTAAATAATTGTAAATCTCATGTTTGGCATTAGGACAAAAAGGAGAGAACTATTCACATTGTTTAGGAGGTCTTGACATTTCTGAATATTTTTAATCAATTGATATTTATTGTGCACCAACCACACACAAAATATATTTTGCAATCGTTTAAGAAAAGATTAGACAATTTCTAGCCAGTTTTAAGTGTGAGGTCTTCCCTAAAGGGACAGTACAGACTCTCAACCAGGGCCGACTTCACTAGACACAGCAGGTTCAGTGCCCAGGGACCATAATACTTTTAGGATCCAATGAAAATGTTCTAATTTCTCCCGGCCAGTGTTGTTCAGTAGTTGAGCATTGACCCATGAACCAGAAGGTCACAGTTTGATTTCTGATCAGGGCATATGCCTGGGTTGTGGGCTCAATGCCCGTGGGGGCGGGGGGGGGCATGCAGGAGGCAGCCCATCACTGCACTTGTCCTTTTAGACTTGTGAAGAGCCAATAAATTCTATTCTTGATCCACCCAAGGAACTGCAGAGGTTTTCCCTAAGATCTAGAACAGTCTTCATCTCAGAAAGTGATTGTTTACTTGCATCACTGGTTTGGATTTTTTCCTTGTCATAATGGCTTCAGCTGTCCTCAAGTTGTAGTTGATGTCTTAAATTTTAAACCAACTCAAAGGTCCCTTTTTGCTCTCCAGGGCATAACTGTACCAGGCAGGCCAGCTGGAGAATGCCCCAAATGCATCTGTCTGTAAATCTCCATCAGTCAGCAATTTTGTTTCCAAAAGCACCACTAGAGTGTACAGGGCTGGGGTATGGAGCATAACAACTCAATATCTAGCATTTCTCCAACCCCCTGCCACCTGCTGAACACTCACATGAACATATTAAATCCCAGCCTGGAGCAAGTTTTTAGTTACGTAATAAAAGCCCTTAAAAAAGCAGAGTTGATAATAGAGATACTAACACCATTTTAATTAGGGAGATGCAACTACTAGTCACTGATAATACAGGTGGGAAATAATGTGTGTGCAACTGTCACGTGGGCTGTAATTATGTTTAAGACTTCTGGTGACACACAGGTAGTGAGAATGAAGCTTCAGTGCTCTGCACCTGACATCATTTGGAAGCCTCAAAATGCACATATAGCTTTGGGCAGCTACTACTCAAGAGGCTCGAGATCCTGATTTTCTATTTACAAAGGGCAGGCAGAGGAAAGGAAAAGACAGGAAAATCTCTAAGTTAAATTGATATGAATCAGTTCACACACACACACACACACACACACACACACACCTACATACAAATATTTTAACTCAGCCTTTTAAAATTCATTCAGACCCTCCCTAGCCGATTTGGCTCTGTGGATAGAGCATCGGCCTGAGGACTGAAGGGTCCCAGGTTCGATTCCGGCC